CACCCCGGCCCCGCCGCCTAGTCGTAACCCCGCCGCCTGCCCGCACCCCGCCGCCACGTGGTAACCCGTACCCCTGCCACTCCGCGATCCCACAACCCTGCAACCCCACAACCCCGCCAACCCATATTGGAAACAACGAACTCCTCGTGACCGTCCACCATGATAGGTGGAGGGCGCTCATAAGGGCGTCCGGCGAAGCGCTCGGACGGTCTGCGATAAGGACGCAGCAAGGGGACGTGGTAAACATCGTGTACGCGAGCCTGTCGAAGGTAATCAGGTAGCTTCACACGGAAGATGACCGGACTAGCGGCAGTATCAGAACCGACGGCCTGAAGGATGCGGCATGGACCGAAGAAACGACGCCTGAACTTGCGAAGCGTATCTGCTTCGAACTGTAAGTGGCGTGCGTCGACGAGCACATCGTCACCGACTTTGAATGGATGATCCATTCGTGATCGGTTCGCTCGTGCGGCCATGCGAGTCTGGGAGTCGGCTAAACTCTCGTGTGCGCGCTTCATAATCGCCGCCATGTGGGCGATCCAGTCGTCAAGCGCAGGGCAGCGAGTGTCTGGACGCAACCCCGATGGTCGTAGGAAATCCTCGGGTACGCGAGGGTGGTAGCCGAGGTCGCAATAGAATGGCGACATCCCCGTGGCTGGCGAAACAGCGTGGTTGTACGCAATATCCATGTGGGCTAAGTGTAAGTCCCACTGCTGGTCATCCCTAACAAACTTTCGGAGGATATTACCGAGAGTTTTGTTGGTGACCTTAGTCTGACCATCCGTCTGAGGGTGGTAAGACGATGAGAAGCGGAGTTGGGATCTGTACACCTTGTGTAGGCGTCGCCAGAATGTGCTGGTAAAGCGCGGGTCACGGTCGGAGATGATACTCTGAGGTAAGCCGTGATCTCTCACGACTCGGTCGAAGACGATGTCGGCGACCTCACGAGCGCTAATGCGATATCAGCACGGAACAAAACGTGCACGCTTCGTGAAGCGATCGACGACGACCAACATAGCATCATGACCGCGCTGAGTGGGTGGGCGGAGGGGACCAATGAAATCCATCGAGATGGACTGCCAACGACCTTCAGGTATGGGTAGGGGCTGAAGTAACCCATACGGAAGGTGGTTCGCACTGTTCACCTCCTGGCAGGTAGGACACTCCTGGATGTAGGCTTTGACAAAGTCCTTGGACTTCGGCCAGACGTATAGGCGGCAAACATGAGCCAACGTCTTGTGGAAACCCATATGACCGACAACTGCCTGGTCATGGAACTCTGCTACAGCCTGGACGCGGAGCTGTCCGGTAGAGGGAACGCAGATACGTGGTTCTAGCTGACCAGATCTGCCATGCCAGTACACAAGGCCGTTCTCCCCGAGGGCGTAGGAAGGAACGGTCTTGCCACTCCGCAGTGTCGCGTGGATGACGCGATAATCGGGGCAGTGGCGGTACTGAGTGCGATATGCGTCGATCACCGACTGATCAACAGTGGTGATGGAGATGGCAGCAAGATGGATGGGTTCYTGATTGTGATCAGRACGGCGGGACAARGCATCGGCGACGCGGTTCGTTTCACCCTTGATGGGCTGAGTGGTGAAACTGAACTCGGATAAGTCACGCCACCAGCGTGCCTGTCGAGGGGAAAGCTTAGGCTTCGTGAGGAAAGCCTGGACAACTGAGTTGTCCGTGCGCACCGTGAAGGGCGCCCCGTGTAGATAATGACGCCAATGCCGGGTAGCATAAACTACTGCGAGAACCTCACGTTCATCGGCAGTGTAGTTTATCTCGGCAGGCAGTAGCTGACGAGAGTAGAAAGCGATCGGGCAATCCCCAGCACGAGCCTCGACAGTCCCATCCTCCGCGATGGTCGGGGAGTAAGTAACAAGAGGACTGTCAGTGGAGGGAAGTGGTGGGAGGGTAGGCGTCAGTCGAGAAGCAGTGTCAACAGGAGAGGGGGAAAAAGAGGAACATGGGGGTAAGATGAATCTGGAGGAGAGGGAAACACCTGAGAAAGAACAGCTCCTACAGCAAAATCTGACGCATCGGTGGTGACGATAAAGGGACGATCAAAATCGGGAAAGCGAAGAACTGGCGCACAGGTCACTGCCTTCTTGAGGGCGCGAAAGGCGTCCTCGCACAGGGGTGTCCAAAACCACGCCAGGTTCTTCCGGAGGAAGGTAGAGGTAAGGACGTAGGAATACCTAGCGCATCCCTGGATAAAATTACTATAGTAGCTGGTGAGGCCTAGGAAACTGCGAAGCTGCTTGGCAGATGTGGGGACGGGCCACTCTGCAATAGCAGTGATCTTCGCGTCGTCCATGTGAAGACCCTGGTCAGACACATGGTGTCCTAGGAAGTCCACTTTGCGCTGGGCAAAGCGGCACTTACTGAGCTTGGCATAGAAGCCATGCTTGCGTAAGCATTGTAGGACACCGCGGAGGTGTCTGAGATGGTCTTCTAAGGTACGACTGTAGACCACGATGTCGTCCAGGTATACGAGAACGCATTCTTCAAGGATGTCCCTGAAGATGTCGTTCATCGTCGTCTGGAAGGTGGCGGGTGCATTGGTGAGGCCGAATGGCATCACCGTGAACTCGTAGTGGCCGAAGCGCGATCGGAAGGCGGTCTTCGGCTGATCCTCTGTGGCAACGCGGATCTGGTGGTAACCGCTACGAAGATCGATCTTCGTGAAGAAGCGGTTGCCTGCCAGACGGTCAAACAATTCATCTGCACGGGGCATGGGATAACTTTTCTTAACCGTGTAAGGCCGCGGTAGTCGATGCAGAGGCGGAGAGTTCCGTCCGCTTTGCGAGCAAAGAGGACAGGTGCACCCCAAGGGGAGTTACTGGGTTTAATGAAACCCAGTCGAAGGAGCTCCTCAAGCTGACGCTTGAGTTCCGTCGCCTTTGGAATCGAGAGTCGGTACGGTGCCTGATGGTGAACACGATAGTCAGGCACGAGCTGGATAGAATGCTCAACACCGCGCATCAGGGAAATCCCGCTGTATGAGAAATATGGGGGAAAGACGTCGTGGTACTCTCGAATCAGGTCGCGAATGGCCGACTCTAAGTTTGCCGTGAACAGTGTGAGTTCCTCAGCGTCTGCGTCGGCACGAGACGTATGTGTGGACTCGACAATCGACGGCGCAGGGGCCTGGGACGTGGAGGGGGTATCCGCAGGCTGACGGGTGGACGTAGAGAAGGGAGCCGCGAAGATGGAGGAAGGGTCAGGGGGATCAGGCTCCAGAGAGATGAGTCCAACCTCGGGACAAAGTGGATCATAGCGAAGAAGATCCATGACGTTCACTGAGTAGAACGTGACGTCCTCCTGTCGTATGAAGTGAGCAAACTGACGAGGGGAAGTGAAGGCGATGTCGGGGTAAGACCCTGAGGGACGAGGGTCCCGGGGAGGGAGGTCGGGAGGGGTGTCGCCCGTGGTTCCAATGAAGGGGACGCGATGAGTTTGACCACACTTCGTTTTGAGAACGAGTGTCTCGGTCGCCCATTCGGCCTCTGTGCTACGGAACCGGCGAGACCAGGGAGTGCCAAAGATAAAGTCGTACCCAGTCTCCAACACATCGAAGTATGCGGAGGAATGGTAGCGCCAAGGCGCCTGGGTACTATCCGGTGAATGGAGGGTGAGGGAGAAGTGGAGGTCGGGGACCGTCTGATCGAAGAAGCGTTGTGTCTTGTTATCTCAGAGGGTAACGGAGATAGGAAAGCGGGACCCAAAGGTAGCTAGGTGAGATTCCTCAACCACTCGAGGGTGAACGAAATCTCCCTATCACACCGAGTTACCGACGATACCCCTCCACGCATCGAGTACCTTGTGCGTTGGAAGGGCTACCCTGATGAGGAGGCTACTTGAGAGCCCCTCGAGCGCTTGCAGCACGCCAGGATGTTGGTGCGTACTTATGATCGTGATCGTCGTGCTGAAACATCTGCTTCTACTCAGCCGACTGACCCTCTTCCTCCTCCTCCGGCTGAGGAGATTGCTGAGGACGCGCTCGTTTCCTCTGAGGTAGTTCCTCAGCCGCAAACGGTCGCCTCCGAGCGTCCACAGCGCACTCATCGTCGCCCTTCGCGTTACGATGACTGACACTCTTATCCTCTATCTTTCCCCACTGACTCACACCATCAGGTACTCCATCATCATCTCTTCTTCAAGATGTCAGCGTTTTGCGGCTCTGCTTCGACATCGACTCCACTGCTACTTCATCAACGTCATCGACTACTTCGACGACTTCAGCTACTTTGGACGTGACTACTTCACGTCACCACCCTACCCTGTATACTCCCTTGCCCCTGTCGCATGATGGTTCTCACTTAGCTGGGTCTCTTTGAGTTTGGCTCTCCCTTGGTATCGCATAGGCATTGGGACCGTAGCGTTATCTTGGCTTTTTTGCTCCCAGATCTAGCTCCCTCTCCCAGTCGGTGAGTTGTGTGCATGTTTCCCTCACCCACTGCCCTCATCACCCTAGCGCCGGCTATTGCATGCCTCCAGTTCGGCATAGCTCCACCCTATTCCAGGTTCCCCTTTTCATGGTCGACCCTGCATGGTGTCACTCTTTTGTCGAGCATTACCCGCCTTGATGGTCTATCTGTTAGGGTCATTGGTTTTGTTTCACTACCACTCTCCCACCTTGAGCCTGATGACCTATCCCACCTTCATGCGTGACTGCCCTTAGGAGTTTCGATTCTTAGGCTGCATTCACCCCCTCTGAGACCATCCCACTCTTAGTGGTTCAGCGACATGACTTTATCTTGTGACATATTGCTCTTTTCCTGTCAGCACTGAGGCCACCGCCTCCAGGACTTTAGGATTGTATCATACTACATTTCATTTTCTGCTGTTAGCTAGGATATGTATACCAAACATTTGCTTTTCTTTTGACATTATGTAGCTTAGGCTGCATCGCATGGACTCCGCATGGAGCTTGCTCCGCATCCTAGATTTTTCAGCTTTCTTTGTTGCAGAGTTCCGCTGCTTTTGCGGATAGTGTGTTTATGGCTCTTGCGATCCATTACGGGTCTGAGGATCGTGCAGCGAGCCTTCATCTGCCCTGGCGCACAACCAGGGCCTATTTGGTTATTTGCCAGTTCGGCCTGTGGGACCAGGCCGTGGCCTGACCCCACAGGCCGTGTGGTTATTCAATCCAGTCCAGTCTTGCCCGGTACCACTGTCGGTACCAGGCCAGTCCAATCCAGTCCAGTCAGTCCGCTGGGGGTATACCCCAGCTACAGTTTGTTTTGTGACTCATTCTTTATTTGCACAGATTGGAGTACGTGCGTGTTGAGTCTGCGTTGGAGCTGCGCTGTCCCTTCCAGCTCCATCTCCATCTCCCCCATCCTCATCCCTTCGTCTTGATCCTGACGGACCGCCATCCCGGCGGGTCCGTCACTCTCTCTCTCTCTCTCTCGTCATTTGGCTTCGTCGGTAATTCAACGATCTCAATTGTGTGGGCAGGATGTATTCGATCCACCCGCCTCCTTTGAAAATTCCAATAATAATTACTCTCTCTGTTTATATATATATCTCTATATATGCATCATGCATGTTCAGCCAATGGAGTGTTTGGGCCCGATATATCTGTCACCCATCTAAGAAACGGTTCCTTGTCTTATAAAAATTGTGCACGATGTTGCGTGTAGGCAATTGGGTGTGCGGCAGATGTATTCAATTGACAGTTCAATAAAACAAATGACTTCATAACTTTGACCCTTTGCTCCTCACTACGCATAATGATCACCAGATAGGGTCCCTGAGAATTTATACATCAGAATATTCGCGGTACGTGAATCTTTACACGTTCTCGTATGAAGTTTCATATGTAAATAGACATTGAGTTTGCGAGGTGTTAGGAGCATGTGCACTGAAAAGCGATGTCAAATAAAGGCAGAGGTCTGCAATTGGTATCTTCAAGGATGAGAGGGGTTGGCGCAAGCCCAACATTACTATGGCAAAAAGGCAAGGATGTCGTGGTCGAAGTTGTCGAGCGGGACACCTAGCCCCGCTGACCGACCCCGCAGGCCTTGCCTAGAACAGTTTCAGCTCGGGGTTGCACTGTATACATATGTCGGAAATGTTGTGCGTCCAATTTAAAATCAATCTAGCCTAATAATTGATTGTCAACACAATAAAATTCAATTTGGATGCTTGATCAGGATGTCGATTTCGATGTTGGGCAAACATATCCCACGCACAAGTTATATACTGCCAGATCATCGTTATTTGCAGTACATTGTGCATTTTATTGCTCATAAAAATCCTTCATAGAGGAACTAACGGTATGTCGGAGTGTATTAAAGGTGTGCTCGAAGTATTTACATTTCTATGTTGTGTTAGGAATATGCAAGGAGCTATATTTCACTGCTTAATCAATTCATTTATAAATAGTACACAAAATGATGTATTATTTTAATGAATAACATATTTATATTGTCAGGGTACGAACAAAAAAAGAACTTTGAATCTCACTTGGTGGAAGAACAGGGCAAGGGGAGGGTCGCTGGCCCCTTGTGTCACCAAGAAGATAAAGGAAGAGGAGAGCTTGACATGCTTGACGATTGATAAGGTCCAAGAAGGGCTGGAAAGTGTTGCCAAGCAAAAGAAAGGTCAGTTGACTCAACCAGAACCCTGGCTGCATGGCTAAGAGAAGAGGATGGCTTGCATGAAGGAAGAAAATTAGAATGGAAAGAACCTAAGGACACGGAGACTAGGCATATGGGAGGGGCTATGTGTTGACCCCGAATGAGATTGTATGTGTTTTGCATTGTGATTGAGTGTGCAGGTGAGTGGCCTTGAGATGACTTGAGCTCGACAGAAATCAGATATGTCGGGCAGCAAAAGAAAAAGGGGGGACAAAAGCTAAGCAGTTGTGAACGTAACCTATGCCTATGAGTGGGACCCTTTATGCATGTTGCCCCAAGTATAAATGAAAAGGAAAAGGGATGGCATGTATGGTTGAAGTTTGCTAAAGTGTCGGGTGGTGGAGACCAGGGTTTTCGAGCCCCGGCCCCAGGGCCCCCGCGAGGGTGCGGGGGTCCGGGGGTGGGCAACCCGAACACCGGCTCCGCCCCACCCCACCCCCCCGAAAAAAAAATAAAAAAAATCAAAACAAAATAAAAAAATACAAATAAAAATATCGGGGGGTGCACGCCTTAGCCCCGCTACCCCTGGTTGTTTTTGCATTCTACAGAAAATGGCCCCAGTCGGGGCCCCTTGCCTGGGATGCCAACCACCCCAAGCGGGGGCCGGGTCGCCCCAACGAGAGGGCGAGGATGCTCCATCCGGCGGTGGCAGCGGGCGTCCCCAAGCACGAGGGCGGGTGCGAGGGTCGGGATGAGGGGGTGCTTGCGCGGTGGTTGTGGGGCCGGGTGCTGGGGGTCGGAGCGAGGCTGGGGGTAGTTGGCGGGGTGCGGGGCGTGAGGTCCTGGCGGGGGTCGGCGGGTGCTGGCAGGTGTCGGCAGATATCGGCGGGTGTCGGCGGGTTTCGGCGGGGGTGCGGGTTGCGGGCGAGGGGAGGGGCAAAGGCGGGGGTCCGGGGTGAGGGGGGGTTGCGTGGGACCGTGGATCTGCGATGTTGGGGGGGGAGGGGGTGCTGCTGCCGGGGGCGGGGGTTGGGGTCCTGGGTGCGGGGGAGGAGGGGAGAGGGGAGGGGTTCCCTGGAGAGCGGGGGGAGTGGTGGGGGGGGCGTGGGGGGGGTGTTGTGGGGCCCCGACCCTGTGGGGTGTAGAGAGGGGGGGGAGTAATGGCGTTGTTGGGGTGGTTTGGGGGTGTTGGTGGGGTGTGTGGGGTTATTGGCCCACTATCGGGGGCCGCTATGGGGGTGTTCATGGGGTTACGAGGGGTTCTGGATGGGTGGTGACTCTGGTGAGGAGTCTGGCGACTCTGAGGAGGCTGGGTGACGGTGGTGAACCCCCTACCCCAGTATTGGGGGCCTCTATTGGGGTGCCCTAATGGGTTACTAGGGGTTCTGGACGGATGCTGAGTCTGGTGACTCTGGTGACGACTCTGAGGAGGCTAGGTGGTTGTGGACCAGTGGTGAGGGCACTGAAGGGCTTTGTGGGCCCTTTCGGGGTTTGGGAAATTTGGGGCTGACAGTTGCTAGACGGAGGCTCGGACACCTCAGATCATTGCGGGGACCATCATGGGATTCATAGCCCATCATTGCCTCTCAATGCTCTCACTCTCCAATTATATGGTGTGCGTTGCGTGGCACTACACGCACTATGCAGCACTCAGGAGTCAGGGAGAGAAGGTTAACAACACCTCTTTTTTTCATTGTGCTAGGAGTACTCGGTTTACTGTCATCGTTTTCATCACTTCAGATGAATGTTTTCACTATCATTCTTGAAAAGTTTCAAGATTTACATTGTTGGTCTCTTACTAAGATGTTTTTTAGTCGGCATCTTCCCCTCCCGTTTTTTCACAACGTTCAGTTCACTCACAACTTTCACTATCTTCGTCGCACTACCGTCCAAGCTAGGGGGGGGGGGGGACGGAAGGGGCAATTTCAAACCTGAACAAATTTAACCACTTCAGTTTGTTCACAACCTCACCACTGTTCAAGCAAAGGGGGGGAAAGACGAAAGGGGCAATTTCAGGTCTTCACGAAGTTCACCACTGCAATTTATTCATAACTTTCACTATCAAATATGCAGGAGGGGGGGGGAGGGGGGTGCAATTTCATGCCTTCATCGATTTCACCACTTTAGTTATTCATAACTTTCACTATCGTCTATGCTAAGGGGAAGTAAGGTGCAATTTCAGGCCTTCACAAATTTCAACATATGACTTTGTTAACAACCTTCACTACCTTCCAAGCTAGTGGGGCATGGAGGACAGACGGGCCAATTTCAGGCCTTCACAAACCACTTCCGTTTGTTCACAACTTTCACTATCGCCTAAGCCGAGGGGAAGAGGGGTATCATTTCATGCCTTCAAAAATTTCACCACTTCAGTTTGTTCACAACCTTCAGTATTGTCCAAGCTAGGGGGGGAGGAGGACGGAAGGGGACATTTCAGACCTTCAGAAATTTGACACTTCAGTTAATTCAATACTTTTACTGTCGTGTGAACCGAGCGAAAGGGGAGTGTCATTTCAGGCCTTCAAAAATTTTA